GATAATGGATGGGTGAGTGAATGGATGGATGGATGAATGGATGGATGGATGATGGATGGGTGAGTGAATGGATGGGATGGATGGATGGATGGATGGATGGATGGATGGATGGAAGTGTGGATGGATAAATGGATGGATGAAGGGATGGATGGATGGATGTGTGGATGGATGCATGGATGTGTGGATGGATGGATGGATGGATGGATGGATAATGGATGGGTGAGTGAATGGATGGATGAAGGGTGTGTGGATGGATGGGTAACTAAATGGATGGATGGATGAATGGATGGATGAAGGGATGGATGGATGGATGGGTGAGTGAATAGATGGATAGTTGGACGGATGTTTGAATGTGTGGATGGATGATGGATGGGTGAGTGAATAGATGTATGGATGGATGGATGTGTGGATGGATGGATGGATGTGGAGCCATGCTCAGAGTTTGTTACATTTAGGACATGAGCTGTTGCTTCAGTATTTCTGTCCAAAGTCCTCTTCATCTTGGTGTCCAGACACCATTTCTTAGGAGTGATGCATTTGAGGGGAGGATTCAGAGGTGGAAACAGTATAATTTTCTTTTTAATTTTGTCACTGCTACCACTTCTACTCCAAAATATCAGAATTTAGAAATGATGAAACTGCCTTGTGTGTAACACCAAGCTTTGTAATAGGAGCAAAATCATGAAATTCTAACAGGAGTGTGAAGCACCTTGATTAAATATTACAATCAACTTTCCTAACTGTCCCTTTGATACCCTGGGGGATTTTACACCCTGGGCCTATTCATGGTAGGATGACTCTGGATGGGTGGGGTTATGACATATGGCATGTTCCCAACAGGTCATTTTAGGAAGGACACATGGAATGGAGTCATCTGGGAATTGATTCTCAGTGTCCCCACTGGATAGTTTAATCACAGGCCTGCTTGATGGCTAATTCCCTGAGGCCAAAGGTGTCCCTGCCAGAAGGTTTCTCAGCAAGCCCCTGTGCCCTGGTCTAAGTGCCTGAGGGAAGGCAAGCTGAGCACCTTTACCTATTTCTTCTGACTTGCCCCTAGGCTTCTCCCCAGGATGGTCCCATGAACTTGAGGTCACCTGGGCCCTGCTCTCCCTCAGGAGGGATGTAATGGGATGAGCACAGGGCAGGTTTGGGGTGGCCTTGGTTTGCAAAGTGCGAGAGTGGACTGCCGGGATATTCTGAGACTGAGTGAGGTTCGGGTGCTCCTTCCCAGGGCCAGGGCCAGCATAAAACCAGAGAGCTGCCTGCCACACAGTGTCTGAGGAGGCTGAACAAGTGCAGGGTTGGCCTTGATGGGGGGAGGGGAGGGACTCGCTCACATCTCCCTACTCCTTGCCCTCCTCGAATTCCAGCTTTACCGTGAGCTTTGTGCTAAATTTCTTCATCTTTCCAAGCCTCAGCTTCTTCATCGTCAAATGGCTTAATGAAACTTATTTCTCAGGGTTGAGGGACAGCTGCAGGCTTTGACCAGCCAGGCTTTTATTCAATAAATGACAGTTCTTACCTCAGTGTGGCCCTGGTCTGCAGCTAGACAGTATGGCCAGCCCCCATCACAGCCCGGGACTTTATAAACTGAGTGATTGTCAGTAGTGCTTAGCTCTTCCTCAGAAGCCTCGCTCTGGGGGCTCCAGTTCCCGGGGCCACCCTACTGTCAGTGCCTGTACCTCTCCCAAAGCCTGGGGTCGGAGCAGGGAGAAGGTGCTGGTCTTGAGGCACAGTTGCACTCCCCTTGCTCTGGCAGACACTGTGCGTAAGCAGAACCTCTACCCCCTCGGCTGCCATGAAGCTCATTTCTCCCAGAGATTTTGTGGACCTGGTGCTGATCAGGAAGTATGAGGATGGGACCATTAGTTCCAATGGTGAGTGTGGGCTGGAGGCGCCACCGGGCGCTCCTGGGATGCAGGGCCCTCTCTTCTGCACTCCTCTGTTCCTCAAGGAAAGCTGAGCATATAGAAATCACCAGAAAAATAATTTGTGTGTGCCCTGCCTTGTTGGGCTTGGGGGGATTCTGGGCCATAAGGGACGGAGGCAAGAGAGTGCTCGTGCCAGTAACTGTATTTTTAAGCCACAGATTTTGTCAGTGCCCCTTTTTATTCCTGCTGAGGCTCATAGTTTCTGCCATAGACGTGTGTGTTGGGTGGTACGAAACCTCAGTGTGCTGTGAATATCACATCCACGGAAGCGTCTTCCTTTGAGGAGGGGTGTGTCTGCCCCTGCCTGCCCAGCAAGGAGCTCAACCCCTGCCCCGCACAGCCTCTGTCCTATACAGCCCTTGCCTTCCACAGCCCTTGCCCCACACAGCCCCTGCCCCACACAGTTGTGGCCTCTGATTCTTCCATGTAGGTGAGTTGGTGGCCACATCACGCTTCTGTGGATTTGAGAAGGGCACCTGCCTTTTCCCACCCCAAACGTTGCATTCTGTAATGCTCCTTTTGCTAATATTCAGGCAGGTTTGGGAAAGCTGTATGCTGGAGTACATGCATGTATATGCATGGATACGTGTGAGTGTGAGAGCATATGAGTGTAAGGGGCAATGGGGTGGGGGCAGCAGGGTCCCCCACTGCCTCCCAGGCTCCGTGGCCCTCCCGTGGCCATGGCTGGGTTCTGAAGTTGTAGCTCACTGGCTGTCTGTGTGTCTTTCAGCTACCCATGTGGAGCATCCCTTGTCCCCGCCGAAGCCAGGTTTTGTGAGAGGATTTAACCATCCTTGTGGGTGCTTCTGTGAGCCGCTGCCAGGGTAAGGATCACTTCCTGCATTGAGGTGCTTGCCTCAGACCTCACTGTGGCTTCCCTGTGGGGACATGGAGTCCAGACGGGCACTTTGACTATGACCCACAACAATAAAAATGCCTTACAACTCTTTAAACCTTGATTTTACAAAACACTTCCACACATGCACATCGGTGGATAACATGAGAAAGTGGAAAAGAATGGTGGGGATATGTTACTCTTGTTATTTTGGGGCTCCCTCCAGCCCTGCAAAGTAGATTAGGCAAATATCATGGTCCCGTTTAGTAGATGAGAAGACAGAGGTTTGGGAGGTTAGATGATGTATGTGTCTGGGGTCAAAGGTGAGGAGGTTGGCTATATGATGTGAGCTCCAAGCGTTCGCTGGGCACCAGCCTGAAGCAGCTGTAAGGATAGCTGTCCCCACTCACATTCCACACTGTGGGACTAGGGCGCCCTAACTAGGAATGGAATGGAGCTGAGAGCTAAACAACGATTATGAGACCACACTATGGGCCAGCCTCAGAGCTGAGCTCATTTCTCCACACACATGGCCAGGTTTTCACCAGGAACTTCTGTCTAATGAATTACCTGAAGGTCACTAGTTTATCCTGGGAACCACCCTAGTTGATGGTGAAAGAAATTGCACCTGTGGGTGTGTCCTGGCATTCCCTGTAGGCCCAGTATAGGCACCAGGAAGGGAAGGGGTCATGCTTCACCACACCAGCCCAGGAGGTGGGCCGTAGTGCCACAGGGTTCCACTACGTCCAGACCCCGTGCCTCTGAATAACACGCTTTGCTAAACTAGCCTTTCAACCACCTTGTGAAAGATTTTTCTTAAACATAACAAAATTTTGAGCTTGAAAATAGCATAGCTGTGATATGATGCATGTGTGTACGCACACGTGCACTCAGTCCCCTCAATACACGGCTGCCCGGATCCCCTGGCTGGGGCTGAGGGCACTGACCCTCTGCCTTGTTTCCTCGTCCTTCCCACCTGAGTCAGGTGCTGAAGACTCCTCTTTCAGTGTGCTGGGTCTGATGGGAATAAGAGCTTAAGCCCTTTCTTTTCAGGGGCTAAATGTTATGGCCATCGTCTTTTGGGCTGCCCGTGCAATAGAATGAGTACCATTGTGGCTCATGCCAGGTAGCAAAGGTGATCACTGGACTTTGTAGAGGGGGTCACTGGGGCCCCACAACTCAGCTAATGTGGAGCTTTTAACTCAAGGGTTGACTCTTTCACCTGTTATCCACTTGATTGAAAACATTTTCTGTTCTTAGTTAAGCTTTCTGCTTAGGCTCAGTGGCTTACACCTGTAATCCTAACACTCTGGGAGGCTGAGGTGGGAGGACCACTTAAGCTTGGGAGTTTGAGGCCAGCCTGAGCAAGAGTGAGACCCATCACTACTAAAGATAGAAATAATCAGCCAGGCATGGTGGCAGGCACCTGCAGTCCCAGCTACTCAGTAGGCTGATGCAGAAGGATGGCTTGGGCCCAGGAGTTTGAGGTTGCAATGAGTTACGATGGCACAACTGCACTCTATCCCAGGGGACAGAGCTTTCTACTGGAGCCTGCCACCTGCAATTATTTTCCAAAGATTGTGGATCTGAAATCTATGACAGTATTCTCTTATCATTCTGTGAATATAGGCCTGTTCTACACACGATGGATCATCCAGCAATAATAACCTCAGCAAACTATTGTTTGGCACTATTCTAAGCACTTTGTATATAACTTAACTCATTTTCATTTTTATAAACCCCAAGGCAATATTATTATCCCCATTTTTTAGATAAGAACACTGGGCACAGAGAGGTTAAGCAACTTACCCAAGATCACATAGCTAGGAAATAAAAGATCCACGATCTAAACCCACCCACCTGGCTCAATATTCTGCTCTTAAACCAGATATGAACTTCTTATAACAGATAAAGTGTCTACCCTCTGGGAGCTTAGATCCTAGTAGTGGGAAAAGGAAACAGACACAACACAAATGCAAGTAATTATACCAGATGGACACACTCGTGATTATCATGTTAAATGCTTTAGCAAAGTAGAGTCAGATGAAGGTGCTAGGGAACAGTGGAGGTGAGTCATGTGGGGGGTCTCCCTGATAGGGCATTTGAACAAAGCAGAAACACGGGGAACCTGGGGGGGGGGGGGCTCCCTGATTGGGCATTTGAGCAAAGCAGAAACTTGGATGCCTGGGGAATGTCAGCAGAGGGGGCACTCCCAGCAAAGGAACTAGCAGGTGTCACCTTGCAGAGATGGGAGCAGGAGGTGAGCATTTAGGGAACCACCAGAGGGAGGCAGCTGGGTTAGCAAAGGGAGAGACTGGGTCCAGGAGGCAGCTGTTGTGCTCTCCTCTGAATAAAATGGGAAGCCCATTTATGAACAGGATGTGCCCTGACTTGGAGTTTAACTGCTGTGGTGCCTGAGCAGCCTGGTGTGTCTAGGCCAGAGGTGACAGTGGCTGAGCTCAGAGTGGCTGCAGCTCAGGAAGAGAGAGGTGCTCTCAGGGTGGAGGAAACTGTAACCGGGACAGGATCACAACATCATTTATGGGGCACTTACTGTGTGAACAGGAAGAATACTAAGTGCTCCTGTGTGTCATCTCATTGGATCTTTGTGACAAACATAGCAGGTGCCATTATCCCAGCCTTCTCCTCTTAGCCCCATTTGGTCATTCTATTATTGTCACATGATGTAACATGCAAGAGCCACCACTCACCACAGCCCCCATGCACCAGAGTGTTGTGTTTGCAGCCTGGGGAGGCCAGCACAGCTGCTGTTAGCCACACAGCAAGTTGGCAGATGGACACTGCCTCTCACCTTCCAGCTCAGCTTCTGTGCCACACACCGTGTCCATTCCCACTCTGGCCATCCACCACCCCTGGCCAAACTCCCCCTCACACGTGCTCAAGTTATTTGTCGGTTCTCAAAATTTTGGCCTAAGGGTTCATAACACCCCTGAATATAACAGAGGGCTTCAAGGAGCTTCTGTTGAAGTGGTTTGTATCTGTCATTATTTCGTGAATTATAAATAAAAACTTAGAAATTCTTTAAACATTTATTTTAATATAATAAAAATGTATTACATTTTAACATAAATAACATTTTTATAGAGAATAGTTATATTTTTCAAAACAGAAAATAATGAAGGGAGTGGCATTGTTTTTGCATTTTTACCACCCTCTGTACCAGCAGTTGGTCTGCTGCAGTGTCACATGGCACGCTGGTCAGACCCTAAGTAGAGGGAGAGCAGCACCTGTTTGTTTCTCCCGGGGCCTGGCGCAGAGGGAGTTCTGCAAAAGCTTTTGCTGAATGAATCAGAAAGCATGAACTGCCTCTGTGGCTGGAAGCAGGGACTTCTCCCTGTGCGAAGGCCTGGAGGGGCTGTGGAGCACACCCACAGAGGACATGTTTCCACCCTGAGAATAAGCAGGTCCAGAGGGAACACCTGGGTGCTGAATCCAGCTAAGGATTAGATGTGGTCCCTGTGGGATGGCCATGTCTACTGAGGTGTCTGTCCTGGCCTGTCCCGGTGCTTGACCCCAGCACCTCCACTGCAGACTCGTGATCTAGCTCTGCTGTTGCTTTCACAGGGAGCCCGGCAAGACCAAGCTGATCACGTTTTTTCAGACCGACCTCAGCGGCTACCTCCCTCGGAATGTGGTGGACTCCTTCTTCCCCCGCAGCATGGCTGGGTTTTACGCCAACCTTCAGAAAGCAGTGAAGAAATTCCATGACTAATGCTATCACTTGTTGGCAAAGAGCTCCCATGCGTCACTGAGAAGCTCCGACTGTTGGGACACCAGAGAGCCTGGGAGCGCTCAAGAAATGTGTGTTCCTTCTTTGGAACAAGCCAGGGAGTCTCTGAGGACACTGGCCGAGGCAGAAGCCCACCCCTCTGCCTCTTTTCCACTCAGGGCTGGTGCAGCAGGAGCCCCTCCTGTGCTCTGAACTCCACCTACCTATGTACCTCCTCTGGCAGGGTGGCCCTGGGCCACAGCCACCTGAAGGGACTCAGTCCTGGTGCCCTGTGAAGCAAAAGCCTGCCTGCTGTAGTCACTCAGAGACAGGCTTCCCAGTCAGCACTCAGAACTAGCCCCTATAGCCTTTTTTGGCACCTGGAGCTCTCTAAGACCTATGCTGCAAACTCCAGATATAATTTTCTGATACAGACCCCCCTATATGTTTTTAACACTGCACAAGATTTGTCCTTTTAAAAAGATGTCAACTTGGAAAATGATGGCTTAAAAATGGTATAAGCATTACGAAAACATAATTTGAATACCCCTTTTGTTGTATCTTCCCTTCAAATTGGTCGTTTTTCTCTCTTTATCTCTTCCATGTTCCCAGTGAAACCAGGCAGGGTGGACCCCATGCTCTTTGGAAGTGATTCTGCACCGAGTCAGCATTCATGTCTGCATGTCGAGCTCTGGGGGAAAGAGTCTTCCTTTTCTTTCCTGTGGACATTTGCCTCTCCTTGTCCAGCTTGCTGTCCAGAAGGACGAAGGGCCGGACATCCCTTCTGCCAGCATCCCTGGCTGGACTCCCCACACTGGACTCTGCTTGCTATGCTGCTCAGCCCGGAGCAGCTGTACCACCCAGGACACCATCAGAACACGGGAGCACAGCCTTGCCACCCACCCGGGCAGCCTTGTGACTTCTCTCCCATCCGACCTGCACAGTCCAGCGAGGGGTCCTAGCACTCAAGAGCAGCCCCTCTGTTCCTCCACTGCCTTCCTGTAGAAAGGGTCTCATGTGTACCTTCAGTTTTCAGTTTCCCAGGTTATTTTTGCCTGTGCAGGAAGTTCCACGGAGCTCTCAGCCTCTGCTCCTCCAAATGGAAAACATTTCTCCTGTGTTATTGGTAGTTCCTTGCCTACCTTTGAGTTCTAGGGTGACTATCTCCAGCGTGGAGGGTAGAAGCCTTCTTCTCTCTGTGTCTAAAGCATCTGCACATCCCACAGTCACGTCCTCAAGGCCATCCAGCTAACTCCCTTTCCGCATCAGTTTCTTGGATTGACTTAGAATTCATTCATTCAGTAAATGAGTACCTACTCTGTGCCGAGCATAGTTCGCTATCACCTCATGGCTTGGTCTCCAAGTCCAGCCTAGTCTGCATTCACCAGCCAAGGAGAACGTTCATGCTTGCTCCTATGAGGTCCAACCCCTGGAAGGTGGTGGTCTTAGCAAAAAGGGTCTGTCCTGTCTAGTGAGTGGAAGGCCAGCTGGCCAAGGACACATCTCCCTGGGCCCATGGACGTACTTCCAGCACTGCTCCCACACCAACTGCTGGTGTCGAGTTAGACTGGTTTGAGTTCTGGATGAGCAAGCAGAAAACACATGTTGGGGTCACGCCCTGCCACTCAGTAGTTGTGCTCCTGAATAGATAAGGAACATCTCTGCTTTCACTTCTTGTTTTTAAAGGAAAATATGGAGGCACATGTCGCAATCCCAGTGTGGCCTAACTCTTGAGTGCTGGCATGAGTGCGATAATGCAGGAATCAGTGAAATGCTGGGCAAGGCAAAGATCTGGGGCTGCCTGAAAGAGACCGTGAGTGATTCCTTTTCATGGATGTTAAGAGCTGTGATTGTCCGCTATGTTGTCTGCAACATTGAGGATGGTTGAAAACATCCAAAAGCATTGTTCTCCATGACTGTGAACTCTGAAGAAGCTGGCTGAAGAAAGCTCCACTTTAAAATTCTATCCCCCCGGGGGGCTCAGATGGACCCTCTTGCTGATTTCCTGCCCTGAAGCCTTCCTCAGCCTGGACACCAGAAACCTGGGCACCAGTGGCTATGTCCTCGGTAGTCCTATCTCAGCTGGAGAAGGAGAAAACATCCTAAGATGAGCCAGGGACAGGAGGCACTGGGGAGGACCCTAGGCTCACCTCGACCTGGGCCCAGTCTGCACATGGCCTCTGCCCCACCCACCTGTCACCTCCCCTGGTTTCCTAAGGAGCCTTTCTCAGGGCCCCAGGCCCTTCCCTGTCCCCACCTTCTAGTCTTGATGAAGACCTACTTTGTCCTTCCCTGGGCTGGCCCACATTCAGCTCTTGGCTGCTTGATAACCTGAAAACAACCCCTGGATTGTAGGGATGGTCACTGCGTGCACAGGTGCTGAGGAGGTACAGGCAGGGATGTGCCCTCTGTGCCATGTGGCCTCCCACCCACCCCAGTAGGCATGGTGAGATCCCGGGAGGGGCTGTGGGACTAAGTCGCAACTTCTGCTGCTGACCTTCAGCCCGCATCTTCAGGGCCTCCACTAAATTCAGACACCTGGCGACCGCTGGAGTTCTGTCTGCATGCGTGTCACTGCTTGATGAAATCCAGAAGGGGATGAGCCAAGCAAGCTGCAGCACACCAGCCATCTCAGCCATTATTTCTCATGGTGAAGAGGGATGAGCTAACACCCACTCTAAGAAAGTCACCAAAGGGGTCTACATGAAGATGAGCACCCCAGCCAGGCTTTCTGAGTCTACTGCCAGGAAGCAGATTCTTACCTTTCTGAGGAGCCTGACCCAGCCGCCAGATTGCATTCACATGGTTCTGTTGATATTTTCTGGGCTAATCTTCTCTTCGTGTTTTATCTGTGGTTCTTGGCAGGTCTTCCCCACGTCCTTACTTCACAGAAGCAGGGGATGGGGACAGGCTGAGCCCTGACCCAGGCCTAGTCAAGGGATATTGGTTGTCGCTAATACAAAGTCACATTTCCTTGTCCTGAGCTTGGTAATCAGGCATTAAGAAATGATCAAAGGCCGAGTGCTGTGGCTCAAGCCCTAATCCCAGCACTCTGGGAGACTGTTACAGGTGGATTGTCTGAGCTCAGGAGTTAGAGGCCAGCCTGAACAAGAATGAGACCCCATCTCTAAAAAATAGCCAGGCATTGTGGTGGGTGCCCATAGTCCCAGCTACTCAGGAGACTAAGAGAAGTGAATCACTTCAGCCAAGAGTTTGAAGTTGCTGTGAGCTATGACACCACAGCACTCTACCAAGGGTGACAAAGTGAGACTCCTTCTCAAAAAAAAGAAACGACTGAACCTGGCCCGGCACAGTAGTTCAGGCTTGTAATCACAACACTCTGGGAGGCCGAGGCAGAAGGATTAGAGCTCACCAGTTCAGGATCAGCCTGAGCAAGAGCAAGACTCCATCTCTACTAAAAATAGAAAAAGTAGTTAGGCCACAATGCACAAGACTGTCCCCACTCCCACCACCCCCAAAGAAAGAAATCACCAAACCAGATATCCCTTTGGTCAGACACTCGAGTATTTTCCCTACAATGCTCTGTACCTAGAGCCTCTAGGCCTGTTAATCTCTATACATCACAGAGCAAAGGACTCACTCTCTGCCTCATCACTCACCAGGTAGACACCCTGCCCTTCATTTCCCCACATCTTGGTGCCCTCAGCAGCATGCTTGCACAGAGCCATGCACTTAGAGGCTGCCGTGATTACTAAAGACAGCACCCCTTCTTCAACCCCAAGCAGTGCTTGGCAGGCGGCGGGTGAGTGGTAGCAACTTTTATTTCCCCCGCTTCCATTCAGCCTGGGTGGGTCTCAGCACACCTGTCTGCACTTTGAACTCTGAGCTTTACTTTTGTTTGCTTACTGGCCCTGCTGCCTGGTGCTACCCTTCCCTAGGATCACTCCTCCAACTCAACTAAAGACAATTTTGCAAATGTTTTGTGTTAACAGATTATATTTTCCAAAAATGGCTCCAGCAATATTTCCCCTCCCCTCAAACCCAGGCAGGCTTGTGCCAGCTCTAACCAATAGAACAGCAGAATTGATGCATGTGACTTAAGGGCATAAGGGCATGAACAGGGTGCTGCTTCTACCAGGCTCTCCCACTCCTGGGATGCTGACCCTGGAAACCCAGGCCCCATGTTGGGAGGAAGCCTGTGCCACAGGGAGAGGCCACCTGTGAGCATTCAGACCGGCATCCCAGGCAAGGTCCCAGCCAGCAGGGACCAGGTATACTACTAGGTATACAAGTGAATGAACCTCCACAGTCCCCAGCCTGTGGCTGTTCCAAGGGGAGCAGAGATGAGCTGTCCCTTCCAAGCTCTGCCCACATTACAAATTCATGAGAAAAACAAATGTTGCTTTCGGAAATGCCGCACAATTACAGTACTTGGAACATTTTGCAAAGCAGGACACAAATTTTATATCAAATTGTAATATATCGATTTTATTTATGGCACCACAGTATTTTCATTAAGCTCTCTATACCTAACCTACAGTTCGTATCAGCTGCCCAAGTGTGCCTCTGTCCTTGCTTCTGGGACAAGCTTCTTGCAGGATGGTGGCCCAGAAGGTCTGGACCTGGGCAGCAGCCTCCAGAAAGCACACCTGCGTTTCCCCGCCTGGGTGGGGCAGGGATCAGAGACCCTGAGAATCAGCAGTTATGGGGCCACCTGCTGTTGGCTTTGGCTTCAGCTGGTGTTTTTTCTGCCTAGGGGTTCCCAGCAGCAGTGGTCCCCTTGGACTGGAGGCCTGTCCTCCTAATGACAAGCGAGACAGGTCCATCAGGCAATGCCTTGATGATGTTCCAGGCTTCAAACCGTGTGAGACCCTGCATGGCAGTCCCAGCCACATGCAGAATTTCATCTCCTGGCTGGACTGTCTCACTCTGTTCTGAGGCAGCTCCTGGAATGAGGGAGAAGATAATGGTTTTCAGAGGTAGTAGAAGTATAAGGACAGTGACCCCCATCCTTAGTCTCCAAGAAGCACAGCTTGAAAGACAATGGGGTGCTTATTCCTTGGGAATTTGCTAGTTGGTAGCTGATTTTAAAACAAGGCAGCTCATAAAATAGTGACCCAGAGGTTGGAGCACCACGCTTCAGCTCTCTGTGGCCCTTGGAAAGCTATAGCCCATCGCTTCCCCAGATGTCAGGCCACACCAAGCCACAGACTGATCGGAGAGATGTCCGCAGTTCACATAAGACTGGGAAACTGAATCCTTCCCAAATCCCATCTTGGACACTGACCCAGCGCCCCACCCCTTTCACATTTGATCTTCCCACCTGGTGAGGCATCAGCACTGGGTGGCATGGGAAGGAAGCTGGTGAGAGCTGCATGGTTTTGGCTTTGAATGGCCTGGAGAAGACCACTGTGTCCATGCACAAAGGAACTAATCCTATATGGCTCTCACTCTATCATAGCTGCACGTGGAAACAGTGCTTTTCTACTGTTTATATTGGGAGAACATTCCCTATCCATCTGACAGAGTGATCTCCACAAATACTGAAGATAATGATAATAATGAAAATATAGCTGTAGTATGTTAGGCAATTATCACAACAGGAGTGTGTAATGTTTTGCATTGACGGCAATGATCCTATGAGGTAATGTAAGGTTAGGATTCTCTGGCTTGGAATCCAGACTTCCTGGCTCCAGCATCCACATCTCTTGGTACCACATCCCCTGCAGCTTGTAGACCCGTCCATGAGGCAGGTGGGCCCAGGATGTGGAATGACATTACCAGAGTGACCCTGCCCAAGGGGATGCTGCTATAAATGGCAGGACCAACACTGGAATCTAGGCCTCTTGACTTTGAGCCTCCCGCTCATTGTAGCCAACCTTCAAAAGTTAGAAACATCATTCCCAAACCTGGAGTCCACATGGGTTCTGGGGGAACTGCCGTGACAGCCTCAGTCTACCATCCAGGTTTAGCAGTCAGCAGTGGGAGCTCACAAGGGGCAGGGAGCAGAACTGGGAGGGCCTTTGAGTCTCAGGACTGACAGCCCTCGGACACACACCTGCACCTCCTCTCTCAGGCCTGGAAGGGAATCACCACTCTATGTGTCAGCAGCAGAGCTGGGACTGGACCAGATTGACCCACTCTATACCTTAAGGGTTTCCAATCTGAGGAGCAGAAGGGCCAGGACTGGTTGTACATGGTAACTACAACTCTTCCTGATTTTCCATGGGGAAAGCCAAGTGGCCCTTCTCAGACTGGTTTGTGCCCCAATCCTTGATGAATAGAATATCAAAATCTTAGATAACAGCAGGAGCTGACAGGCCCAGGACTAGGGGAAGACAAGTGAGGCTGAGTTGCCCAGTACAAAGACTCTGCCTTTATTTAAACTTTGCTCACTACAGATTTTTAAAATTTGGGTTTTTAAGATACTGCATTGAAAGAGCATTACTCTTGATCACTGACCATCTTGGCAGCCCCTCATACTTTGCACCCCAGGCCAGTGCCTCACTGCCTCACCCCAGTCCTGGCCCTGCCAACTCAAGCCAAGCCCAGGATCAGACGCTTAGGGGAACCAGTGAGACAGAGGGAAAGGGGAGGAGGTCTGAAGCAGAGGAGAAAAGGTAGAAAAAGCAGAATTGTACCCTAAAAGGGCCAGCATGCCACTGGAGAGGACGCGGGGTTGTGAGAAAGCAACATAGCTCAGAGGTGCTATGGGGGCCTGGCCACGTGCCCACAGCTGGAGAGAGTGCAGAGCCAGAGCCCAACACACCTTTGAACATCCTGTTCACAGTAAGGGGCTTGTCTCCATGCAGGGAGCCCTTCCCTCCTTCCAGGCTGAAGCCCAGCCCTGCAGACGTCTTCTCCAGTGTCACCGTGCAGACCGTGGCCTCCACTGCTAAGAAAAAAACCGGGGGAGGGGCTTTGCCAGGGTCCTCTCATCTCCTAGGACATGGATGTCCCCGGCATCAAACAAGCCAGGATGACACAGTGTTTGTGCACACACACAAATAATCACAGACAACCTTCTTGAGCAGGTACAGATTAGTGAGCAGCCCATCGGGACTGGCCCCAAATGGCCTGAGGTGATGTGGCCCACGGGGCTTCTCCAGAACTGGGAGAACTTACTAGATTCTACAGAAATGTCACTGGCTGCAGAGGCTGAGGCTGTAGAGTCCATAGAGGAGTTCAGGTCAGGTGTGCCCTCAAGAGCCGGCTTCCTGGTGACAATCACAGCTTGCCGGGGGTCTCTAGCTTGCCGCAGGATGGCCAGGGCATCATTGTGCGTGGTCCCTTTGAGAGACTTGCCATTGATGGAAAGAACCTCGCTGCCCTTCTGAATAGTCCCTTCCTGGGAGGCCAGCCCATCTGGAAATACCCTATGAACCTGAGCAAAGCAAAGGAGTCAGGACCCAGAGCACGCCCAAGTCGGACCTACATTCATGCTGGAGGACGACCTGACCCGGTCAGCCTTACAGGGTTTCAGGCCAATGAAAATGGAAGCTGATTGTGTCCTAGACCAGAGATGCCAACGCAGCTGCCAGCATGCCCTCCGGCTCTTCCCAGAACCCTGAGAAGCCCCACAACCCACCTTAGTCCCGTCCCGACAGTGTCCGAGGCCGCACCACCTCAGTCCTATCCTGAAACAGTGTCTGAGTCCTCACCACCTCGGTCCTGTCCTGACCCTGTGTCTGAGGCTATACCACTTTAATCCAGGTTTTCTTGAAGTACTGATTGATTCTACAGCATATTAATAAGTGGAATACAAGAAAAGGGTTCCAAAATCAAAGAAACTTGGGTCAAATGGAAACTCTGAAAATGTCTACTTTAAAAAAAAATCATTAGAGTCTGAGGACTGCAGAGGTGTGTGGCAGAGCTCAAACGAGAGGAGGGAATATGGCAGTTCCTGAAGAGTTTCAGCAAAGAACTCTTTCCTAGCGAAGAAATTCTCAGGTCCCACCTTCCACAGAGTGTATTTTGAGAAATTTTTATGTTTAAAATTTTTATTTTATTTAGAGACAGGGTGTTGCTCAGTCACCCAGGCTGGTGCAGTGGCATCATCATAGCTTACAGCAACTTAAACTCCTGGGCTCAAGCAATCCTCCCTCAGCCTCCTAAGTATGTGGGACTACGGTTATGTGCCACCACACCTGACTAATTTTTTAAATATTTTGTAGAGATGGGGTCCTGCTATGTTGCCCAGACTGGTGTTAAACTCTTGGGTTCAAGTGAGCCTCCCCCCTTAGCCTTCTGAGTATCTGGGATTACAGGTGTGAGCCACTGTGCTCAGCCACAGTCTAGACATTTTTAAAGCTCCTCCCTGGTCCCTTTTCTGCAAGATATATAGGATAAAAACAAACAAAAAATCCCATGCCTTTGCCTCAGCCACTTCAGTAGGATAAATTATAATTAGGAGGACTGAATGACAGCGTGCACGGGCTACCACTGAATGTGCCACGTGTTGTTTTGTTTTTATGATGTGAACAAGGCTCTTTGTTTCTCTAAATAGTTTTGGTGTTAGAAAAACTTCTATGTGGTCAGAGGCGGTTAGAATGCCCAGGTGTGAGGCAGAACCACCTCCCTGAACCGTAGGTTGCTCCTCTAGAGCAGAAGCACTAATGCTGCCACTCTATCAACCCAAGTGTGGGGATGATGAACTCCAACAGCGGTGGGTGAGCGCCCCCCATGGGATTCCATGGCGCCCTACATTGGTTCCTCTTTGGTGAATCTGGAAAGGCCGAGAAGTGCTCAGCACAAAAGAAGAAAAAGGAAGTTTCTGTGCACGTGCTCCGCCAACATGTACCTCTGTCCTGGTTCCTGAGTGGCCACAGTATCTCGGGGCAGAGAAGACCCAGCGTGTTCCGCCCACAGGCGAGCCCTCTTTCCTTCTCTTCCAACAGAAATAAACGACCACAATCAGGAGTACTTTTCTAATGCTCGGCTATGTATTTAGTGACAGAAATAGACACTTACTGGTTCTATGTGCTTTTGTTGTGGCAGAGAAACTAAAAAGAAATAAAAGAAGTTTTTGCTGGAGTATAAGTGACACTGGAGTGACCAACAGGAATGTGCCAAATTACCACTACAAGAGTGTGGTATGTTTAGAGCTGGCTGACATCTGGCACCGGAAAACTTGTTTCCAGTGGGGCAAGGAAATTCAAATGAGCCCAGCACCTCACACACAAAGGAGACAGCACAGCCATGGGGTGATGACAGTGCACTCAGCTTGGGAGAGATGGGGCAGCCATGGCACACAGCTCCACCACGCCGGGAGGACCAGAAACCATGTGGGTCAGGCACAGGTGACCCGGGGGCAGCACCCAACTCTGATCAGATTGGATAAGCCCAAATAATGGGGGTCCACGGGACAAGGTGCACCCAACTCAGGTCTGCTGCCCGCCGCACTGCCCCAGCCTGGGCAGCCCTGAGCACCCAGGGCTGAACCGTGAGCTGTGGAGCCTCTGGGTGTGCACGGTGGCCTGTCTCATGTGAACTTGTTCAGTGACTGTTGCTTCTCTCCAGCATGGGCTTTGTCCCCCCAAATCAAGCACCAGGGCAGCGTCACAGTTGTCCAAGGTACCAGGGTAACATTCCCCCTGTCCAAGGAGCAACACCAGGAAAGCAAACTCCTTGACAGGGCCCTGCCTTCCCACGCTCTTTTGGTTTGGGGGGGATTTTTTGTTTGTTTGTTTTTTGAGACAGAGTCACACTTTTGCCCTGGGTAGAATGCCATGGCATCATAGCTCACAGAAACCTGAAACTCTTGGGCTCAAGCCATCCTCTTCCCTCAGCCTCCCAAGCATCTGGGACTAAGGGTGCCTGCCATAACACCCAGCTATTTTTTGAGAAAGGGTCTTGGTCTTGCTCAGGCTGGTCTCGAACCCAGAGCTCAGGCCATCTGCCCTCTTCAGCCTTCCAGAATGCTGGGACTGCAGAAGTGAGCCACCTCACCTGACCTCCCAGGGCTCCCTCCTACCCAGGTGTGCTAAGCTGCACATCCCTGCCAGGCCTTTGTGCTGGCTGTATTGCCTTCCAAAAATCTCCCTGTGCTATAACTCATTCCGATCTACATTTTCGTGACTTAAGAAAGAGACATGATATTGAATAAAATGTGGTTTCTTTTTCTTTTTTTGAGACAGAGTCTCACTCTGCCACCCTGGGTAGAGTGCTGTGGCATCAGCCTAGCTCACAGCAACCTCAAACTCTTGGGCTGAAGAGAGCCTCTTGCCTCAGCCTCCCAAGAAGATGGAACTACAGGCACCTTCCACCACACCCAGCTAGTTTTTCTATTTTTTAATAGAGATGAGGGTCTCACTCTTGCTCAGGCTGGTCTCATACATCTGAGCTCAGGCAATTCACCCACCTCAGCCTCCAGAATACTGGGATTACAGGCATAAACCACCACTCCTAGCCTGGTTTGAATTTTTTAAATAGCTAAATAACCACCTAGCACCTTAAAAAATGGAAGCATTAGGGCTTTGGCCTCAAAAAATTCTGATTCAAAAGTTCTGATGTAAAGCTGAAACATCTCTCATTTTTTAAAGCTCTGCAGATGTTCAGGTTTCTCTGGTGTATTAAAGTTGTTTTGGGTACGCAGAGATCTTCCTCATTAAACTGAGGGTCATGATGAGTTGAACATGGGGTCACGTAGGTGACCACACTTGGAGGCCCTGTCCTGGCCACCACCCAGTGGTGTCCTGCATGACTCTGGTCCCAGCCCTGGACCCCTTCCTGGCAAATGCGTGTCCCAGAGTCATGGTCTCTGGCTCTGACACACCCCTCACGTGGCCACTCACCGTAACCACCTTGTTCTCCAGATCTGCTCCTCCTGCCAGGCTGAACCCAAGGCCAGCACCTTCCTCCTTGTGTAAAACAGTGACGTGGATGCTGTCTAGTTGCTGCAGAAGAAAATACACATGTCAGCAGACTCCACTGCGGCAGGATGAGCAGCACTGCGAGTGCCGTGACAAAAAGCACACCCCAGCCTCATGAAATGACAACTAACATCACATCCTCAAACCTCGTGCCACCATCTGTAAAGACAGGGCTACACTTTCAGGAGTCCTGGGAAGCTTAGCAGGTGAGACTGTATGGAAAGCAGCAAACATATTTCTTTCCGTCTGTCACTCACTCCATCCGCACTTGCCCTCACACAGACAGAGCCACCAAGCAGCCAGAAATCCCCACGTGCAGGGTGATGTGGGTCTGCCGGGACAGTATGGCATGAAGTCAGGCTGGAGGACTTGGGCACAAAACCCGGGGGTCAGGGCTTTCCTGCAGGCACTTTTTCCTTTTTCCTCCTGACTCTTCCATGAGACACAGCAGCAGCACTAAGGAACCTAGCTGACATCTCGCCCCAGTGAGCACACGTGAGCTCACATGAGCATGCACACACACAGACAGGGCACTTCCCATTCCCAGCCTGGACGTGGGCTCACGTGGAGCCAGGACACACTCAGACACTTCCAGTACAGTCCAGAGCTGGGGTCTCAGACTTAGACGCCTGCAGGAGTAGAAAAGACCCCCTGCCTGAGCAGGACGCACAGGTGTGTGTGACAGGAACTGTGTCACCTCTATAGGGGCCAGGAGCACAGACCCAGCAATGCTTGGGCATCCCCTCAAAACAATGCCAGAAATCCATGCTTGGATTCAGGTTTTATAATTTCTAGAATTTAATAATTTTTTTAAATCACTATGCAGACCAAATAAAATACACCTGCAGGTCCACATGGCTCTTGCATCTCAGCACTAGAGAATAAACGAATGGCAAAGAATTCACCTGCTCAGATGCCAGCATGGCACCTGATTTGCAGATGTCTCAGTGATCCTAAGGTTTGGAGTCTCCAAAACCCAGCAGGGATGAATGCACCTTGCTGACCCCAGTTCCCACACTAGCTCACATCTCCTAACTTCTACCCAAGCCTCAGGTGACCTGTCCTGTGGGAGGCCCTTGTCAAGTTAGGAAGCAAATGTTCCTCAGTGGCTCCTCAGGCAGGCAGTGCTGTGCACGTTACACACAGTGACTTCCCTTGTCCCATTTGAGCTGGGTGGGGCTCAGCATCTAGATGGTAAGTGAGAGGGGTATCTTGGCCCAGATCCATCAGACTTCCGCACACAGTGACTACAGGATGGCAGCGAGAAGAGGGGGACCTTCTTATCTCCCTCATTCCAGGATAGATCATTCCAGGACAGGAACTCTGTGTAGATCCTGGGCAGCCCCAGAGGGGACCCCAGCTCTGCCCAACCACTTCCGTACACACAGCCCTGGTCGTGCTCTGCAGCATATGGGAAGTGAGACTTTCAGAATGACGTGGCAGAGCCCTGGGATCAGTGCCCCGTACATGTGCAGTGGGAATAACAAAAGCTCTAGGGTGAGAGCCCTTGTCACCCTCAACGTTTGCGGTGGGCAGCATCCCACTGGAGGGTCACGCCTGGCCAGCGGCCCACAGGACGTGGGAATAGCACCAATCTTAAACTTAGATCTAGAAAACCTGGGCTCTGTGGCCTTGAGCCTCAGCTTCCTCATTTACAAAATGGTCAAAAAGATGCAAGGAGTCAATACAGAATGTGCTTTAGATGCCAGAATGAGAGGCCTCACTGGGGCCTAGTGAGTGTCTCACCACCACGGGAAGACTTGTCCTGGTCTGGTGTCAGCTCCTGGAAGCTGCCGTCTCCTGGCTCTGTGCGGGTGGGGTGACTCATGCTGCTTCCCTGGCCCTGCTGAGGTGATGGAGCAGCAATACTAAGCCCCCAGTCACTGTTTTCCACAGAGGAAACCTACCCTTAATGTGGCTTCATCCAGAACCTTCACTTCCTCGATAAGTTTTTTCAGTTCCTCTGAGCTCAGCAGGGAGATGACAGACTGGCCAGACTGGGGAGAGCAGTGGTCCCTGTCGTCAGCTTCCTTGGGCTCAGTGAGACCCTCTGTGTATTCTCTCAGCTCGGAGAGGCTTTCATGGGGAGAAACAGCGCTCAATATAAATAGTAATAGCAATAAGAGCTAACACCATGTAACTCCTCTACTCCGGGCATGGTGTAAGCACTACTTGGACTCTATCATTTGCAAGGAATCTGTGAGGAGACACCGACATTCTGCAGCAGCATAAGGACAATAAATAAAGCTGATAACTGCAGAGCTGCTCTGGTAAAGGGGGAAGACCCAGCCCCAGCCTCCAATAGAAGTCCCAGGGCATCCCGCCAGCCTGGTTCTGCAAAGCAGGTCTCATCCACCTCCTAATGTCAGCTGAGGACAACGAGTGTGAGTGTGGAAAGAACCTGCTTCCACTTGGAGTCCATGCCTGAGTGGGGACTAGGACCCAGGCATCCTGACTCCCTGTCCTGGGGGCTGACCCCTTGTGTACAGTACAAGTGAATTCCTTCTGGGGAGCAGTAGATATTCCCAAGGGATAATCTCCTGGTCTCATTCTAGCCTGAGTAACAGGGAGACATTTCAGATGTGTACCATCAGCCATTCAAAACTCTATGGGTAATGTGCAGGGAGCCAGTCCTGTCCCTCACATCCCATCCTTCCTGTGACCAGATATGAAAACTCCTCTTTAATATATAAGGTGGAGAGGCCAAGGTGAAAGGATTGCTTGAGGCTGGGACTTCAGGACTAGCCTGGACAACATAGCAAGACTCTCATCTCTACAAAAAAAAAAAAAAAATCAGCCAGGTTTGGTGGCATGGCACCTGTAGCCCCAGCTACTCAGGAGGCTGAGGCAGAAGGATGGCTTGAGTCTAGGAATTCAAGCCTGCAGTCACGTATGATTGTGCCACTGCAAGTGGGTGACAGAGAAAGACCTTAACTCTTTTTTTCTTTTGCATAAAACAAATTTTATGTAACTGAGGGATTCTTCCTGGGACTAGATAATTGCCTTCATAAAAGAAAAAGAAAAAACAAAAACAGAAGAATAGAATAGAATGAAATTCCAGTGTTCCAAATCAACTCTTTACATCAATACAAGCCCAGTGTCCTGGCTAACAACATGCTTTCAGTCTGTCTTATCCTAGAGCCCAAACTCTGATTCATTTCAGCAGAGACTCCGTAGGCAACAGGAAAGATTGTGGCATTAAAACATTCATTTATACTTTTGTAGTAGATTCTACAGTAGAGAACTTAACTCTTAAAAATAGATGCAGAAGGCAGAGGTGTGACACCTGCACACACACTCCGCACACACACGCATGTAAAACAGGAGGCGCAACCCTTTAGCTAACCTATGTGGGAAATTTTAAATGCCACACAGAATTATAAAATAGAGAGGATGGGAAAGGTAGAAACACCAAGCACAGACACTCACTTGAGTGAGAACCCAGTGTCCGAGGCAGGAGTTTCGGCAGAGTTGTTTGCAGCTGAGTCTTCGTGGGATGATGGTGTTGGAGACATCCCCTCCTTGGGGACACCAGGAGTCTGGCCACAGGAGACCGAAGAGGGAAGGCATAGCAAGGACTTCATGACAGCTGATGACACCTGGCTGCTGATAGAGTAGAGTTTGCTGGTCTTTTCATCGAGTGGCTTCGTATCACAGGAATGGGACCTGGTCAGGGGGAAGCTTCGTGCTCGCTGGCTGGGCATCTTGAGGATGGGAGCTCGAGAGTCCTCAAGCTGTGTTGAAAGCAGCCTCGAGAGAGGGTCCGGGTCAGAGGGGGGAGCTTTCTTACTGGTCTGCTGCCCTGAGGGAGGGGACTCAGACACACCAGGGTCTCTGGCGTCCAAGGCTGTAGGGGCCCCCTGCAGCAGCTGCTCTTGCTCAGGCTGCTGACACTGAAGAGTTGGGGGAGCCCCTTGCCCCAAGAAGCCAGAAAACCTTGCTCCCTCTTGCTTGCCAGGAGTTCTTGCTGCTGCCCCAGATGAGGGCTGTAGGCCCAGTCTCTGGGCTCCTCTGTTGGGCGGTCGAGAGGAGCCAAAGGTCTCAAAGGAGCTGATTCTCTGCTTGATGGACGAGGCCTGCACATGGGGGGCTGGGGACTCCCTGGAGGCGGGTGTTGGCTGGGCAGATGTGGCTGCATCAGGCAGCCTTCTCGGGTCTGAAGCACGATTCCTCAAACCTTTCAAGCTTTGGCGAAACCAGGCTGGCTTGGGGGCCACAGGAGGACCCTTCTTCCCACTGCAGCTGTCTGCTGACTTATAAACTTTGGGGGCACCATTGGCTGCATCCAGCTTTGGTGGGGTCCCCTCCGGGTGGCCCTGCGTCCTGTCTTCTTCACCCAGGCTGACGTTGGGCTGTAGAGGCATGTGGCCGTGGTTCTCACTCATGATGGGACTAAATAAGTTTTTGATGCAGTCAGAAATTCTAACCCAAGGGTCTTCGGCTGTGGTGTCAAAGCCGTAGTCCATCCGAGGCTGCCTCTTCAGCAGCGGGTGTCTTACTGCGGATGTTTGGGTTGCTAGAGAGCAGAAACAAGGCCAAAGTGGTGTGTTACATCTTGTTGTGACTTTTCTTCCTAAATTCTAGTTTCAAAGCTGAACAGCAAGAAGGATTCCAGAGGAGGAGAGTAGCAAAAGTGAGGACTCTGATAAGGCTGAGGTCCAACCACTGCCCTGACTGAGGTACCAACAGGCAGGAAGGAAGAACAAGAAGTGAGAGCTGTCAGAGAACTCTTGGTCCCAGCTCTGGCACTTTACAATTCAAGAAGGGTAAGGGGCAAGCTGGTGGCAGTGCCCTGTGTGTCCCAACTCGCCAGGCTGGTGTCAATTCTACACACTAAGGAGTCTCCAGGAAACTTGTTAAAAATGCAAAAGTCAACACAATTTTCTTTTAAACATTTGAGAGGAAGGTCAGGAGCTGGCAGCCGTATGGGCGTGGCCCAGCCATGTCCTTAGGAAGCAGGGTGAGTGCCCTCTCTGCTCCCTCTCCCCAGGTCAGCAGTGCACACTTATGCTTCGGTGTGGCCTTCCAGACACACTGGCCACTGATCAGCTTGCTCAGCAAAGGAGTGTTTTCCCTTCCTGAAGAACTGATGAAAAGGTCCCAGGTGGAAAGAAGCTCTGTGACACAGATTCTCAACCTTGGCTACACACCATCTGGAGGGTCTTAGAAAAGACTGACACCCACCCCAACATTCTGATGAAATGCACCCAGGCTGCAGCCTGGGGCTGGGAATGCATTAAGTCCCACAGGGGATGCCGGTGTGCGCCTGCTCCATGCCTGCCAGGACCTCAGGTGACCAGGCTAGCCCTCACTACAGGGGCAGCACACAGAAGCCCTTCTTAGAGGCAGCACTGAACCTGCCTCCCGTCCCTGTGAGTAAGAAAGACTGTCCCCTGTTGCTATGGGAATGCAGCCCAGCTTCAGGAGACTGGTCCCTCCTGTTCCTCATCTGAACGTCTGAACTGCCCAGAGCATTAGGCTTTTGTGACGTCAAAGAGAAGCTACGCATGCTCCAGATTTGGGCAGTTACTGCTGACCCCAGGACTTGGGCAGGAGAGTCCAGCCCTCCCAGCCTCTCCCTGTGTCTGCACATGACTCAGCTGCAGGGGGCTGTGGGGATGAGCAGGCAGAGACTGCACAGAGGCTCCTGGCAGACTGGGCTGGGGGCTCCTGCCAGTGAGACATGGAGCCGCTCACTGATGTGTTCCACAATTAGGGTGACAAAGGGACAGGAAAGCAGGGTGGGGGAGGGCACCTGTTCTGGGTAAGATGTGCTAGATCATTCTACAGTGTCCCTTAGCCCTCCAGGAGTCTTTCCTGGGCTTTTTGAGTCATGCGTCTCAAATGTGCATATGCTTGGTAGCCTATGTTAATATTTATTTCTCTGCCACTTTAAGGAGCTCCCTGGAAGCAGGACCTGGGCCTTCTTTTCTCTTTCTCTCTCTCCTAGCACCTGGCCCCTCACTCAGTGCACTCCTGCTGAACGAGTCACCCGTTGGGGTCTCTGTGACTCTGTGCTGATGAACAAAATCAAGTCAGAAAAGCAAAGTAAATTGCCCAGAGTCATGGTTAAGGATGGGCAGACCCAGGATTTCCTGGCTCCAAATCTTATGTTGTTTCTAGTAAGGCACTAACTATATAGATCATGTCTTAGCATCACTATCACTAGATACCCCATGTGGACACACCCTAGCTGTCCACCTCATGGAGGAGGTGACCACCAGCAAAATGCTCCCTGTGCTTTCCTGAGCTGCATCCTCACACTTGGGAGTCCTGAGCATTCGAATGTGGGCACCCTTGGGGCAGCTGCCCAGGATGGTGGGGTAGGTGTGTCCTCAGACTTCCTCCCGAGAGCTCTATTCCCAAGTTGACCATCTGGACTGGCCACCATCGCAGCATCACTGCCCCACCCTGGACAGCACATCCACAATCCTGCTACCCCAGCTCCTAGGACTTCTGACCATTTTCTCAGCCAAGTCCAGCAGCTGTGTCCAGGCACAGCCCTCTGGTCCTGAGGCCAGCTCATGCTGTCACCTTATCACTGGACCTCTATCCAGTAGGTCCTTCCTCTTGGGAGATCTCAATGAAAGCTTACCTGGGCTGGCTCTCCTCTGGCCTGGCTCACCCTCTGTGGAGGACGTCGTCTGGGCACCAACTCCAGGTCCTGGGCAGCAGGCAGTGGCCTGAGGGGTCCTCCCCCCAGTATCTTCCTGTGGCGGCAACAGTGGCAGCAGCTCTCTGGCTTCCTGTGGTGTAAACAGGAAGCGAGACGGTGTCAAAACGGCAGCCTCCACTCTGAGAAGGCGAGACACGCTTTGACTGGGACTTGAGAGCAGAGACTGAGCTGCTTCTGGCAGAAATTCAGCAGCAGCCTGGGAAAGGGCCTCACTGCACAGTGCTGTCACGGCACAGCCAGTGCCGCCCAGACACCAGAGCGTGCCTGGACTGCCCACAACCTAGGCGATGGGTGTGGAGACCCTGGCTCCTGTGAGGCTGGGCTGTGCAGGGAGCTGGCATCACTTCAGTTCCAAATGCATCTTGGGGAACTATCTGCCCAGGTATAGGCACATAGAAACAAAGGGGCAAAGAACTGTCACCTAGTATTCCCTAAGTCAAGGTAAACATGCAGAGGAGAACTCTCATCAGGCACACCAAATATCATTCCCTCTTCTGATGTTTAATAAGCATGCCGCAGAGGGGGACAGACACTGGGCAACTGTGCCAGTGCCCCCGCCGGGCACTCAGGGTGCCATCAGGAATTTGCTGCAGAAGTGTTTTCCCCACTGAGCCTGGATGCAGTCCCAGGGACTAGCCCGGAGCTTCTTGGGGAAGATATGGGCCAGGCACCATATGACTACAAAATACCCAGGTGAAGTCCAGATTGTCACACAGCGTGGCCACACTGCTACCAGGGCCCAGAGGAAGTAGAGAGACCAGTTGTGTCCCAAAGGTGGAGAAGGCTTCACTGGAGAAGTGCTTTTGGTCTGGTTCTTAAACAAAGAGTAAGAATTTTCCATGTAGAGAGGCAGAAGAAGAGTGTTCCAGAGACACAAACCAACCAAGCCTAATCCCATCCTCCAAAGGCATGAGAAGGCAGATCATCAAAGTGGCACCTCCAATATTTGACAGTCCACAAAAGAAATATTTTGCTGTGCCACAGAGGCCTCCACGTCCTATTCACTCCAGCCAAGCCATTTGACAGGGCTGTAGCCTTCCTTCCAGAAAGGAAGGACAGAAGGAGGAACAAATGCTTCATTTGGGACCAAAAAAAAAAAAAAAAAAAAAAAGGGAAACATCCATAGCCTAGGATTTAATATCTACATTGACAGTGAACATTCTTTGGGAAGGAAAAGTCTACAAAAGTGAGAGATGTGCTCACAAAGCATTAGCCCAGCCCACATTCCCCACCGTGGCACTGCACTTTAAAGAGAGTGTTTAGGAAGTGCTGAGAGATCAGCTAGTCCATAAGGACCACTGGGATTCTTGAGCTACCCCTTCAGAAAAGAAAGGCCAGGTCATGGCAGGAGAGCTAAACATAATAGGCTGATGATCTCCAGGATTCTCATCACACAGGAGAAATGATGTGTGGATGGTTTGATTTCACCCAGCTGGAATCTGTAGGATGATACCTGTCTACATCCATGAACTGTGATCACTTTAACAGACGGGCACATCTGGTACCTACCACAAAAGTGAAAGCAGCTTTACATCTTGGGACAAACACAAATGTGCTTTGTCTTTTTTTTTTTTTTGAAACAAAAGTCTGGGGCATCATATCTCACAGCAACCTCAAACTATTGGGCTCAGGCAGTTTTCTTGCCTCATTCTCCTGAGTAGCTGGTTCTACAGGGACCCACCACAACACCTGGCTATTTTAGAGACAGGGTCTCCTTTTTGCTCAGGCTGGTCTCCAACTCCTGAGCTCAGGCAATCCACCTGCCTTGGCCTCCCAGAGTGTTGGGATTACAGGCATGAGCCACCTTGCCTGGCTGTTTTGTCTTGTAATCAATACATCTGATGGTGCATCCTCTTCGTAGGAAGTTTTTAAAATTAGCCCCTGAAATAAATCTTATTTTACAAAAATTTTTCTCTGACTGGTTTTTGGTAGATGAGGGAGGGAGAGGGGAAAGAAGGAAAGAGGGATAGAGATGTGGACTGAGCAGAGAGGGAGGAAGTGTTGTTTGGAGGGTTTTGCTTTTTTGTTTTTGACATAGCTGATCATCTAACCTCATTTTTTATAAGGGAGAGAATTAGTTTTTTTGTTATGAAGATCCCAAAGGTCACTTTGGTTGTGTAAGTCCCCTTGAGTTAGAGGAGATGGGAAAGATTGGGGACCTTCCATAGCAGCTTGAGAAGGGGCCCTGGAGAGAAAGAGGAGCAGAGACAGTGTACACTGGGACCATGGGGGGAACAGCTGGTGGGGAATCCCCAGGAAGGGCCAAAGGAGTTGTAAGAAGAGTGGCATCCAGCACATCACTTTCTGTTCTCCCTCGGGCTGTGGTTCTTTCTCTGCTTGGTCAGTGGTGGGAAGGTGATAGAGGAAGGAGCAAAGCCAAGTACACAGAGGGGAGGCACTGCAGGACAGCCATTGTCCCCAGGGTCAGTGCTGGGTGGCTGGGGGAGGGGCCACAGGCTGCTCCTGAGACAGCCCCTTCCCTGGGGTACTTCTTGCCTGGCCTTCCCTGAGGAACCCCAGTTCCTCCTCCAGCCACCTGATTTTCCCTTTCTGGTCTCCTAGGTCACAGGCCTAAAGGGGAATGAAATATTTGCCTAAAGGAGGAGGCAGGGGAGCAGGTCCACCCTGACAGCCTGAGTCCTGCTAGCTCGCTGCACAACCACATTTCTTTTCATAACCTGGCCTCCTCCCCCTCCTTCACTTTCCCCACTCCTCCCCAGCACCTTCTTCTCCCAAACACCCCTGGTGGACCTTCTGACTAATGCCTCCTAAAGTTTGTGGACTGTTCTAGGGGACTTCCAGGGGCCCCACTCCACCTGCCCAGGGGATAGAAAGAGGGTGGAGCAAAGTGGGTAGCGTGACCAGCCAGTGCTGTGAACTCTGACGGGCTTCTCAGTTCCCTCTGTGCATAACTGGGTCCCTCACCATCAGGTCCTTATAAGGAGGAATTGAGACAGTGTACACTAAAGTACTGAGCATAGTGTCTGGGCATAACAAAGGTTCAAGGTCCAGCAGCTGCCTATCTGCCCTCTGTAAGGGGCAGCGCCATGGGGCTGCTGAGGGGAGAGGTCTCTAAGGGAATGACAGAGGAACGGTCACAGCAGTGGATACTATGGTGCCTCAGGGTCTGCTCAGGACTTCCTGTAAGTGGTAACTTTTAGGGGGAGAGGCTGGTTCTCCCCCAAGGCTCCACACCCAAGGTGGGAGGGCTAAGTGGGGAAGAAACAGGAACCAATTCCTTACAATCCATAGACTTTAAGAAGCTCTGGTCCCCTGTGAGTTACTCAGGCACCTAATCCCCTGGGAGCAGAGCAAAGCATCGGAGGCCAGCATGCGGTGCCCCCCTCACAGAACAGCCCTCCAGAGCACTGTGTTGCCCAGAAGGAACCTTCAATTCCACCATGTCATGGACAGACACCGCACAACCGGCAGCAGGCCTGAAAGACAAGCTCTGGAGCCGCCAGCCTCCAAACCTGTCCTTCCACAGTCAGGCCTGGAGGCCCCAGCTGATCCCTGAGCAGCAGCCCCCTCTCTGGCAGAGCAGGAGATGCCTTCCTCCTGCCCCTGGGACAGAACAGCAACCTCAAGAACCACAGTGGGCGGTGCCCATGGATGCGCCCTCTTACCTGGCCGCAGGTGGGCAAGGTGTGCTGAGAAAGGCATACGCAGTTCTCTCTCTCTTCTAGACTCTTCTGAGGGTCACTGTCACTTTTAAAGTATTTCCTGGGTGGAGGCTTGGGCTTGGAGGATGTAGGCTTTCTGACCAAAATCTCAAAGGATTTCTTCAGCCTCAGTGGTGGGTGGCCATCCTGGCTCTCAGGGCGGGATGGACTCTCCTGGGACAGCTGGGAGGAAGCTTCGGGAAGCAATCCTGGGCCTGGCCCCGGGGGCAGTCTGGGGCTGTGTGTGCTGACCAGGTCAGAAGGCTGCTGCCCAGCACTACCACTGCCAGGGCTGCCCCCCGGGGACCCGGACATGTAGCTGCTGTCGCTGCTGGAGCGCACCATGACCTTCTGGGCCCTGCGGTGTGGGGGTGCTGAGTTCTTCTCTCGCTCCTTCTCCACGGTAGGCCGCCCATGCCAGCTGCTCTCCAGCCTCTTGACCCCTGCATAGGAAGCATGAGTGAACCCCAATGCTGAGCTTGGGAAGACAGAGATGCTGCCGGCCTGCCTGGTACGTGCCACCTGCTTCTCTTCTGAGGCAGCTTTGGAGCTGGAGTGTGGCTTCTCTGATCTTGGGTTGGGGAAATCATCCAACCCTGCTGAGCCTGCATATGGGAGATATTGAGACGTGCCACCCAGATCGCTTGTCAAGGAAGGCCTGACAGCTATGGGGAGCACTGGTGGCAGACTGCTTTTTCACTGAGCCTGCATGTGGGAGATGTTGAGACGTGCCACCCAGATCACCTGTCCCAGCTAT